GATCGGGTATAATGTATATGAAGCGACAGAAATGAGAAATAACAAAGAAAAGGAAGAATGTCGACATCGTCAGATAGTCGGGTGCATTTTCGATAAACGAAACAACTTGACGTTTCGTAAATAGCCACTTCAGACAAAAGATAAAACGTGTGTTTACGATTGTAAACACGCCATCTCCCGAATCTGTTATTGCCGAAAAATCAAATGTCAAAGTCAAGTGTGCGAGAAATGTACGAGAAATCGGAATGATTTTCGATATAGATAATGACAAAAGTGAATATCCGAGTTGGAAGTTAAAGGCGAGTCATCTCCAAATTAGGCGAAACCAATGACGTCAATCGACAGTCTTGCACGATCTGACGTCACGCGGCGAAGATAAGCGCATATCGTTTGTCGAAAAATCACGTATTTTTCGTCGAAAAATTCTGTTCGTTGTTCTACAACCGAACTGTGGGCGTCGACTCTCGATCGTGGGTTGAGACGGGAATACGGGAAATAATGAGATGATTATTTTTGTTTTCGCGAGAGATAAAAGTAAAATGGGAGATTAAAAGTGCAAGTAAACAAGAGCGAATGTCCAAAACAAACATGACACGTTTAAAAGCTACCTGCCTAATGATATCACGATGCTCATATGACTTTATACTTGACTTAAAAAAAAAGAGAGAAGAGACAAGCTAGAAATTTTGTTTCAAGCGATTTTACCGCTTGAATTAATCGTCGATTAAGTTAATTGAAGTTCGATCGCCCAGACCACCTGTCGTTCAGTTCCACACGTGGAACTTCGCTCGGGAAAACAGTTTCTCTATCGTTCCGAACAAATACAGATCACTCGTCAAATATGTGACAAATTGGAGCCTCGTGATTCAGCTGAGAGAAGAGGGGAGCAAAGAGAAAGACAGAGAGCGCAGTGTTTAAAGCCCATATCTCTCTCGAGGTCGTTCAGAATATTCCAGAGCTTACACGATGACGAAAGAGAGATGCCGGGTTACGTAGAAATTTCATGGCTCTGCAAAGAATTTTTTTTTTCTAATACAAAATGCGCGCGATATTATAATATCTATTTTTATTACATGTCTATTATTAAATCAGAAAATTATTATACTCGATAAAATTTTTTTTCTGCTACATACCACTCGTCGAGTAATTTTTATTTCTATTGTTGATAATGAATGTTGATTCTGCATTACTGTTAGTTTACCTAAATTTCATCAGATAATTGGAACGAGGTATTTTTACGTCGTGCGGAGGTTAAAAGTTACATCATCCGTTGTACGTATACTGTGAGGGTTCAACGCACCCGCGCGGACCGACGTAAATGTTTATCGATTTTTCGGATGTTACACGTGTTACATGACGTAAATCCCACAGTTCTGGCCGACTGCTGGCAACAAATGCTGTAAATTATACATGAATAAGTCATACGGTAGCCATAAAAATTCGCTGATGATAAAATAATTAAAAATATGAACACAGTGACATTCGAATAAGGCGATTAATATAACTGATTTTTATTTAATTTCCGCTCGATCGGAAACACAGAATCTTGACCTTTTGCCGGGCCTGTTTCCAAGTGGATTCGATATAGCGTCTCGCGCGGCAGTCTATATAATTCTCCAAACATTCGAGACAGTATACTTAATTATAATCAGCGAACTACATTTTTGTGGAATCTCTACAAATACGTCCAAATAATATAGATCAATTAACAAAGAAATTAAATTTGTTTGGAGTCTTAAATTAAATCTGGAATCTCTATAAATCTGTCCAAATAACATAAATCAATTAATAAAGACATTAAATTTGTTTAGAACCTTGAATTTAAAATTTCAAAAAATCGGTTCAAATAAATCAATTAACAAAGAAATTAAACTTGTTTAAAATCTTGAACCTCTTAAATCTCTACGAAGTTGTCGAAATAATATAAATCAATTAACAAAGAGATTAAATTTATTTGAAGCCTTTTAAATTAAATCTGGAATCCCTACAAATCCGTCCAAATAATATAAATTAATTAATAAAAAAATTTAATTTGTTTAGAGTCTTTTTGAAATCTCTAAAAATCAAAATAACATAAATAATTAAAGAAATTGAATTTTTTATACATTAAAGCAGCTGATCGAAATAAATTAAGGACGAAACAAGTGATTCGCGTTCGTCCGTGGGAAATGACACTGAGAACAAAGGGTTGAGGGTCGCTCGGTTCACAGGCAACCTAGGAATCTCGCTTCCTCGAAGTTTTCGTTGCGTCAGCGATGTATCAAGTTGTCAGAACGCTGTACTGCCTATTTCGATTACGATTTTGTTGTTATTCTGACCCCGTTTAGGAAACGGATGAAAGAGACTATACTCGCAACGGAGTTCGCGGCCGAGTACAATGACCCGTGCCTCACTTTCCTTGCGAATCATAGGCTCAATCGATAGAACGGCCGAAGGAGCGTCATTCGAAATGATTTCTCAGGTTTCTCGGACGTCGAATATCGGTGGCTCTCGATGCCGTCGACAGACAGGATTCTTGTCCTGACACACTGGACCTAAACGAAACGGTTTTTCCACTTCTACGCGCGACACAAACGAAGATCGACGCACCTGAAAACGACTTTAAATCGGAAATCTGTTCCTTTGTTTGTATCTGTCGCACTGAAAATTCACGCTCGATTAGGCGCACGTTTAGACGCGAGGAAATAGAAAGGAGCGAGAATGAGCCAGCGATCACAACCTACCTACCGAAATGTCGAGGGATCAATTTTTGTTCTTTTTATCAGTCATCGTTTTCACGAAATGAAATAAATGCAAATGTGGAGTAGATTAGTGGTCGAATACTTACCCGGATGCGTCCGAAACGCCTCTACGTCGGCGAATCACCCAATTTTGGCCCGCGTCTTGTTTCACGGTCCAGAAGGATAAACAGAAACAGAACCAGGTAACTACGCCAACTGACGGTTGGCCCGACGGCCCGACGAGCGCGATGGCCTTCTCCTCCACCCCCTCCAGGTCGTTTAATGCGTCGCCGTTTCAGCTGATCATCGCGGGCCAATCAGCGCGTCGGGGGAACCAGGCTGGGCTACTGTTGATAAAGGAAGTGAACGTTGGTAGCACTTGAAAAATTACCGCATTTGAAATTATCTCGTAAAACTCCTTCCACAATTGATTCATTAAAATGCATCATATATCGATCGCTTGTAAAAGAAATACCGCGACAACCAATTATTTAAGATCGGACGCTGATAAGGATAAAATTAATCGTCAAAAAAAACACGATCAAACTTAAAAAATTGACTGGGTCAATGCCACTTTGTAGATGAAATTCTAATTATACACAAAGTCTGAATACTTATATTTCAAAATATATAAATTCGATGAAATTGTAATTATACACAAAGCCTATATTTCAAAATATATAAACTCGATGAAATTCTAATTATACACAAAGCCTAGATATATTTCAAAATATATAGATTCGATGAAATTCTAATTATACACAAAGCCTAGATATATTTCAAAATATATAGATTCGATGAAATTGTAATTATACACAAAGCCTAGATATATTTCCGAATATATAAATTCAATGAAAATCTATTTATATACGCGGAGCCTAATAAATTTCGAAATATATTAAAGATATACGTGAAGCACGGCTGCAATTCTCAAAGAAAAATTTACCCCCTACGGCTTGCAAGATTAAGTAATGGCGAATAATTTTTAGCATTTATTCGTCCCGATTGTTATAGCGATCTTTTAGTACAATCTTACATACAATCTATTGTAATGGTTTTATATACAGTGCTCTATTTCTCGAAGAAACGTGGGAACAAATGGAAACTGCATGAAAAAAATTTCCTCTCGATTTTTTTTTTGGTTTTCTTTTGTGGAGAAACATTATAAAATCTTAAACATGTACGTACAGGAACGCGACTTTTTACGACATAACGTCACGTTGTTATCCATAGAGAGTGCTGCGTTTAATAAACAGCACCGATACCCGGAAAATCGCACGCACCAAGATGTAGAACGACATTAAATAAGTGGTATTAAAAGTTGAACTTTCTACCCTTACGAGTTCTTCTCTATAGTATCACACTTTCCGCGAAAACAAGAAAACGTGATACTGCAGCCTTCGCGAGAGAGAGAGAGAGGACATCCAATCGGACGACGATAACATCCGCGAGCGCCGCCGGGACGTTATTCCGACTTCGGCTTCGCGTCCTCTTTGTAGTGCAGCAAGACGAGGGAGAACAGGAACACGCCGGCCATCATGGAGAACGCGCTTATGTAATACGGGAACGCGCTCGGTATGAAGCGCTCGTACTGCGTGTGCTGCAACGGGCGCACCGAGACCTGCGTGGTGCTGTAAAGATGCGTCAGTCCGATGCGCGTGTAGTCCACCTTGAACTGGTACACCCCGTACACGTCGGGGATCTTAAACCTGCCCTCGTAGCGGCCGTTCCCCACCGGTTTCATGGTCATTCGCACAAACGGGTCGATCCGCACGAACTCCAGTTGCAGATCGTTCGTCTCGTAGGGCACCCAATTGCCGTTCGACAGCCGCTCGACCTCGATCGAGTACACCACGTCGTCCATGATCGTATACGCGGCCGGCGGCTGGGTCTCGCCGACTCGATGGTGGTGTACGGACGACACGCGTATGACACCGTTCTCCTTGAACACCCACTGCGCTATCGCCTTGGCCACCACCTGATTGCCGGACTTCTCGTATCTCTTACCACCTGCGAGCACAATCGAGCTTCCTTAAGTCTCATGTAGATCATTCCATATTGAGCAAAAATTATTAAAAATACTAATCTGTAGATATTTCAAAAGATAAATAAATTAATAAATCACTTTCTTCTCTTTTTCTCGCTAAAGAATTTAGTTATTTTTTTACCTTGTCCTTTTTGAACTGGGCTGGTGAATGCCTCGTCGCTGAAGAAAAATAGCGAGCCCGAGAACAAAACTCGGGCATTATTTCTCGCCTGCAGAGCCGCTATCAGCAGGGTATTTTTGCCAACGCCGTGCGGATACTCCTTGACCGGTTGATCCGGATAATAAGTGTACGCCGAGGTAGATGCTGACAATAAACGTAAAATTAAAGGATTATCCGTGTCCGCGATCAGTCCGGTTCCCTGGTACAACAACGGTGGGATGTCCTTGCTTCCGACGATAACCGGAGCGTCTATCAGATTCGCTGGATCTGCTACTATAGTGGTATGCTGGCCGCCGTCGGAAACATCGTAGTTCATGTGGTCGATCACCGTGGAGCCCTCCTCGTCTACCTCTAGGCCGCACTCCGAGGCCAATTCGTGCACGGCGTCGCCGGATTGCGAGGAGCCAGCGAGCAGTACGTTCCCACCGCCGTCTATAAACTCCGTTATCGCATCCACGCTCAGAGCACCGCCGAACTCCTCCACCGTAGGTGCGAAGATTATCAGGTGTTTGTACAGATATTCGCCATATTTGGCGAGCTGCAAGGTTGGGTCGTCGGCCGACTTGAAAGTCAAGGCGTAACCGCTGTCTGTAACAATTTAGAAATATATTATTTAATGTCATTAATTAATATCGATTGTTAAAAATGTAATAAACAATTATATTTAAAAAAACGTACAAATAAGTCATATATCCGCAATTAGATAACACTGTAAATGTCATATTATAAAAATAATTTTATACCGATTGCATTAAAATTGATAAGCGAATACTTGTATCATTCTTTGCTATTGATAAAATTAATGTTAAAATACTCAAATACGTATTTTATCTCGATAAATAGCATAAAAATTCTTCGAGAAGATCTGAAAACGGATCAATATTTTGCGTTTTGACGTGGCCTTCGTACATGGACGAGAAAAGACGGAAACATATCGAATTTGCTGTCAATTATCAATATCCACGCCCCTCGGACGTGGATTGATATTCCGCAAGCGCGTCTAACGTCCACGACGACGTTTATAGCGTGTAACGCACGAGAGAAACGCGGTGCCGAAGACAGCCATCAGCGGCCCGGACTGTCGGCGACGATCAGAGAGATAAAAGACGAGGCGCCAGTTACCCTGCAACGTTTTGAAGAATATCGAATGGGTTTCCTTGATTGCGAGATTGTCCAGCAGGACGAGAATCGACCCGCCGGCGTTCGAGCCGGCGAACACAAGGAACAGGCAGAATAACCTCCCCACGAGCCTCATCGCGCACCACTTGTGACGAAAAATCCTGCCACGGGCCACGTCGAACGACGTCGACTCGCCGAAATGGCGCGTTCCCAAACGCGCAGGGCGCAGGCCGCAGGCCGCGGGCCTCCCCTAGAGTCCCTATATAGGGACTCTGTGGCCGGCTAGCTCTCTTCCCGAATGTGCTTCGGGACGCGCAGAATATTACCTTTGTCCATTTCTACTAATGCAGATTTGACTAATTAATGCAGCTTAATTTACTTTTTAGCTTTTTCTAATTTTAAAAAGGTAGGTAGAAGTGGTCATAGGAATTGTGAGAAAATTCTTAGAAGAAAATAAAAAGTAAATCTAACCGCGACATTAGACTGCGGTCTAATATCCAATTGGAGGATTCTTTTCCTAGGGACGAAAACGTCGCAGAATTTTCTGAACGCATCTGGCAGTTCATTGTTGAAAAATGCTAGGTTATATGCACGTGTTTATCGTTTCCGCATGGCATGGAGCAGTGATATAATTTTTCTACCGGCATAATTTATTTTGAGTTAAGGTAATTTATATAAATGAAGACTTGGCATGTACACGATTATAATTGCAATAAAACGATTGAAAAGAAAAAGATAACCTCTAACCTAGTGCAGCAACAGAAAACAGACAGTTAACCTAAAAGGACTTATTATGTTATAAGTTATATTATAGATATTAATTAATTGTAATTCTAATAACGACTCCTTTGATTAATTTTAGATAATAATTATTTGACATATTTTTAGATGACTCTGGAAAGTTTTCCCCGAGGAGGGAAGAAACCTCCTGGAATCAAGAGGCTTACAGATGCGGTAAATATATAATTTTATTCTTTATTTTTTTTGTTTTTGAGTTATTTAATTTAATTTAATTTAATTTCTTTTAAACTTATTTTAATTTATATATTTTAAAGAAGATTCAGGGAAAAAGTGTAACATTTTGTTATAGTAATCCATATTATTAAATCAATATGTGTATCTGGATATAGGTATATAAAATTTTATGTTAAATATCGATATTTTATTGACATAAATTGTTACATAAAATTCAATTACGTGACACAACTGATAATAACACTTTTGTCCTAGCCGTTTGAGGAGAAGCTTAAATCCAAAAGGCATAAAACGCAGACGAAGAAAAGAAAAGATAACGCAATTGTAGAAGAAACAAATCTTATTCCCACCACTGCAGACCGACTATGTCAAACGATTCCACGCGAAGGACTGATTCTCCTTGGACGGGTTTCTGAAGTGTCGGAGTACCACTTGCTAGTGTCTCTACCGGGTGGATTTGTAGGACAGGTGCAAGCTACAGATCTCGGCCAATCGTACACAAATCTGTTGCAAGATATAATCGACGCAAAGGCCGTCCAGTCGAATGACTTCAAGCCCCTACCAGATTTGTTTAAACCTGGCGATTACGTAACGTGCTGCATCAAAAGTATAAATAACGAAAGCAAATGGTCCTGCAGTTTATCTATGGAGCCGCAGTTGATAAATCAAAATGTTAATACCAGTTATCTTGCGAAAGATTCAAAGGTGGTTTGCACTGTCAAGAGCGTAGAGGATCATGGCTATATAGTTGACACAGGTATAGCCAATGTTAGGGCATTTGTCGCTACTGAGGACATTGAGAAGGGAAAGCAATATTGTAAGTATAACTATAACTAATTCTCCGCATAATGTAACAGTGTCGTTGCGTTCATTGCAAAGTAATATTCGTTACAAAATAATTTGTTAATATCATAAATTCTGTAGTTCCAGGCAGTCAACTCTTGTGTGCTGTCAAGGAAATAAAAACGGTAGATAACACGTCTGTCATCAAATTGTCGACTAAAAGGAAAAAGATCGACAAGATTAACGCACATGACGTAGTGTCTTTGGACGTTTTAGTGCCGGGAACAAAATTGCCGCTTTATGTAACAAAGGTGCTTTCCAATGGCCTGCAAGTTACGTTTGGGAAGGATAATGTTGGATTTATAAATCAAATTTACTTAAACAACCCTTTATCTACGTATGCAGATAATACGGAAGTGACCGGTACATTATTGTACATATTGCCAACGGTGAAATTAGCGTACTTTAGTCTGTTGGCTGACACGTCGGAAAAGGAGATGTTGCGCATAGGCGATATTGTAGAGAGAGCTAAAGTTCTGTACAGAGAATCCAGTGGGCTAATTTTCAAGTTATCTAAATCTGGGCTACGCGGATATATCTCTTTTCGAAGAACGAACGTCCCGTTTGCCAAGATTCCGACCGAATTCAAAGAAGGTTCCACACATAAATGCAGAATTCTCGCGTACAACTGGCTGGAGCACTTTTATGTCTGTACAATGGAGGAAGAAATTTTGAGGCAGAAATATTTCTCAGCTTTTGATCTTAATATTGGCGACGTTCTCACCGTGACCATTCATATCGAACCATCTAATTCGGTCATACATGCACAAGTCGGAAGGATTTGGGGAATTGTCCCGATTGAACACGTATCCGATAGCGGGTTGAGCGCTGTGCACAAATTGAAACCCGGGGACAGCGTCGAGGCGAGAGTCCTGGATAAAGTTGATAATGATAATAAACGAGTGAAATTCACGCTGAAGCAGTCGCTAATAAAGAGCAAGTTGCCGGTTTTGCATCGTTTTGAGGATGCCAAATGCGGAAAAAAGTATCACGGTACGGTCAGCATGATAGATAAGAACGGCTTATTGGTGAGATTCTACGGAAAGGTAAAAGGATGGGTCCCACGCGGTACGTTGGACAGAGATACGCGTGATATGAATTGGAATTATTCCGTTGGCCAGACAGTTACGGTGTGCATTGAATCGGTGGAGAAGGACAACGGTAGAATGAAATTGAGAATCGTTTCCGAGGAAGAGAAGCAATCCGTTAGCTTCTCGATCGGAGAAACGGTCGAAGGGACCGTGACGGAATCGTCCATCAAAGGAATATATTTGATGATACGGAAAGAAGATGACGAAAACGTTGCGACGGGCTTCTTACCAGCGGGCCACATGGCTCCGTGCATCGAAATCGGCAGCTTACTTGCGTCGAGATGCGCTCCCGGGGACGTGATCTCGGCTCTCGTGTTCGCCACAAAGCCGGCCGTAATATTGTCGCGCACTTTCGTGACCCAGGAGAAATACAGGAGCTTCGACTCGTTGAAAATAGGCGATTGCATTCCGTGCACGGTGCGATACATATTGCAGGACGGCGTGAGAGTTGTCTTGCCGATCGAAAATTACTCCAAGCTCGGATTTGTGCCGTACAAGAACGTCAGCAATTTCGAGGAATTGTACACGAATCAGATATTATTCGTTAAAATCACAGCAATCAACAAGCGAGAGAAAGAGCTCACTTTGACAATGTCGTTGAAAGACGTGTGGGAGAGTCCGTCTGAGTACGAGGTCAAGATGATGTCGGCGGTGGATATCTTGAGTTTGTACCTCAGCAAATTGTCGGAGCTGGCGAGGACCACGTACTACGAGAACAGGCCGATTTCGTCGGCGACTCTGGGTCAAAAAGTTACCGGCACCGTCAAGAACATAACTGAGCACGGTTTGGTGCTGCAGTTGAACGATCAGTTGATGGCCACCGTGCGCAAGGATCATTGTTTCGGCAATCCTCAAGTAGGGGACCAAGTGTTCGGTACGATCCTGTGGAAGAATTACGTCCACGAGCTCGCCGACGTGTCGTTGCTACCGAGAATAATAAACGGCATCAGCTCGAAGCAACGGATGCTGCCAGAATTGCCCACTGGGGTCACGTTAAAAGCAGAGATCCTGATGATCACCAAGTGGTTCATACTCGTCGTCGTGAAACGTAACGGCGCGGGATATCTGGCGGCACTGCCCGTCCGCCGACACGCGAACGACAATTCTCCCGATCTGACGCCTTACAGGGTCCACGCCAAGATTCGACTGTACGTTATAATGAAAGGGAGCGAGTCTGATATCGTCCCGATTTGCATGCTAAAGTCCGCATTCGAAACTCCAAAGAACACGATTACAGCGGGGCAATCTACTAGCAAGAAGAAACAATTGAAGAGGAAGGTGGTGTCTGCGCCACACGATGTAGATCTTACAAATCCGTCAAAAAAAGCGCCGAAGGAAGTCCCGAAGGAAGCGCCGCAAAAAGCCTCGAAGAAATCGTTGAAGAAAAAAAATGAGAAGAAAGATGAAATTGAAGTCAACAAGGAGGAGATCAGAATAAAAGACATAGATGAGAATTCCGAATCGGCTGAAGATTCTGTCGACGAAGATGAAACAGAGGCGACTAAATCAGCGGGAAGATTGCGCGTTCCGGAGTGCGGATTTTCTTGGGACGACAAGGCAAAATCGGCCGCTTCTGCCAGCGCTGAGACGTCCAGCGACGACGAGGAGGAGCCCGAAGAGGAGCCTAAACGGAAGAAGAAAAAGAAGCTGAGCGCGGCTGAGCGGCGGGAACAGGAACGGCAGAAGGAGCGCGAGATTCGCCAGCGGGAGGAAGCTCTGGCGAGCAATCAGGCACCCAGCTCCGTCGATCAGTTCGATAAATTGGTTTTGTCGAGCCCCGACAGCTCGTTAGTGTGGCTACAGTACATGGCGTATCATCTGCAAGCGACGGAGATCGACAAGGCGAGAGCGGTCGCGAGACGTGCCATCAAAACGATCAATTTCAGGGAGGAGAACGAACGGTTGAACGTGTGGAACGCGTGGCTGAATCTGGAGTCCAGATACGGCACCGCCGAGTCCCTGAACGACGTGTTCCAGGAGGCCGTGAAGACGAACGACGCGTACAAAGTGTACATGCACATGCTGACCGTACACGCGGATGCCGGTAGGAAGGCCGAGCTTGAGAAATTGATCAGCACCGTGATCGGCAAGTTCAGGCAAGATCCTCAGACGTGGATAGATTGCGGCGGTGCGTTGCTGAAAATTGGCATGAAAGAAAAGTCGCGGCAGATTATGCAACGGGCGTTACAATCTTTGCCCGTATCTCAGCGTAAGTATACACAAGTCGCCTCCTCTTATTTTAGTGATGATAATCCTATATGTTTAAAATTGTGTGACGCGCGTTTGCAGACGTAAACTTGCTGGTGCGATTTGCGAATTTGGAGAACAAGCTGGGAGACAAGGAACGAGCGCAAACGTTATTCGAGAACATCCTGAGCTCTTATCCTAAACGTGTCGACGTGTGGTCGTGTTACGTCGATTGCCTGATCAAGTCCGAGAACATCGATCTAGCCAGGTACGTAGATTCTACGGTTTTACTACAAGTAACAGCGTGCGATAATAAATATACATTATTAGGACATATCTGTTTCAGGCCCGATTTCTTAGTTATTTAATAACTAACAATAAGTATAATTAACTAAGTATGATTACTGAATAAAATTTTATCTTGCGTTTGCAGGAAGGTGTTGGAACGGGCATGCGTCCAAACGCTTCCGCCGAGAAAGATGAAAACTCTCTTCACGAAATTTATAAATTTCGAGGAAAAGTACGGTACGGCCGAGGCTGTAGCTCGCGTGCGGCAGATGGCTGCGGATTACGTGGAGAAACATACATAATGTGTTTCGTATTATAAAAAATGTTATCAATTTGATGCATACAGCGAGTAGAAAATTCCTCTATTATGTTATTATATTCCAACAGAATCCAGTATATCAATATTCTTCTTTTTTTTTCTTCCTCTTCACATGAATTTCCGACTTGAAATTTCATCCCCAGATTCAAAGGAGTAATTTATTTCATAATCGCACAAGAATTATTTAAAATGTAGATGCCATGAGGAACATCATATCGTCTCGTCCTACAAGATACGCGATTGGTCGCTCTCATTACATTTGCAATTTCTAACACGGATACAACATTCGTTACAGTTACATTATGTATCATACGTTGTTCGCACATTAATTTAAGATTTTTTATATCATATTTTTCAGCTAATGCAAACAATTGACGTAACATTACTACATTTATTTCTATTAGTGTAAATATACCACCAATTATTAAAGTAAATACTAATTCGTCCAAAACATCATGTTTTATATCAGTTACTTCTATCTCATAGTTCCTATTTTCTTTACAAAAATTTTCAAAGTATTTACTTTGTGAACATAAAGCTTTATATATAAAAATACACTTATCGTCTATTAGAAATTTAATATGTTCATAAGATTTATCTATTTTTAACAATTCCTTCACAATGTGTGTGTATAGGAAATACATTTACTAAATACATCAATGTACAGAGCAGTACAGAGTGAACTCAAAACACATTGTAAGTGTATTATTGAAGACGAACGTTTCTTTTTCGTTTTTAAGTTTTGATATAGATAAAACACATATTCTTCTGTGAGCACCTGTGTAGAAAAAGTATTCAATGTTTCTGTCACCAGTACTTTACCAGTAGCAGTCTTTATAAAGATCGAAGAAGCTTTAATTAAATTCCTTCCTAGATCACGGACATAAAATTCTAGTAAACCCTCTTCATCTCTAACGCACATATCAAGACAACAACAGTTTGAAATTATGTCGGCAACTAATTTGGGACAATTTTTCAGAACATGTCAGAAGTTATTGCCAATAGCCTATGTATTGTTGATTTTTTCCATCTTCACTTCGACAATGACAAATGGTATCTTCAATCACGCTCATCATTATGGGTGTCTTCTTTATTGTCAGTCCTGCGTGCAATCGATCAAAAATTTATCGTTACAAAAATTGAATACGTATCGTGAAATGTACGTATATTAATCAAATTTTCATGTATATAAGTATAGTAAATGTTTTATGAAAGTCTATTCATACTGTAAATACTTAAAATTTAATGATAAAAATAAATCAAGATATTTTTCGAGAAAAGTTTTAGTTTAAATTAAGAGAAGTAAAGAATATATTTTTTGACGATGTTAGAGAACGATTTCACAAGTGACATTTTTCACGGAGATATGTCGTCTACATGTATAACTTATCAGCGAAATTGATCGGATTTCGAATTAAGAGGAGCTTAAATTTTGTATGCTCGCTTGGTCTCAGCAATTTTTGATTTAGCAGAGAAACGCTCGTGCAGGTATAAAATCCACATGCGAGTATTTTTTTTTTGTAATCTTGCCGTCAAAACATAAACAAGTTTATATATTTTTTTCTCTTTAGGAATTTGTTTGGAATTAAAGGAATCCGATCAGGGTAAACAAATATTTATTAATTTATATATGCATATATGTTATTGAAACAGATATAACTGGGAATAATTAAAGCAATACATCTGCCAGAAAAAAATTAAAATTAAAATTAAATATTTAATACGACAATTTCTCCTCTCTTTCTCACTCTAATATATATATATATATATATATATATATATATATATACTAGAGTGAATTATATATATAAATTCATGTAAAGATTCATGGCACATCCGCACATATGCAATAATTATTTAATTATATGTCTAACACAGTATTGAAACAAGAAAATAAATATTATATCTTTCTTATTCTTTAACCGTTACACACAGTTTACCGGATAAATAAGTTGGCATATTAATATTAATTTTAATATAAATAGCATAATATATAATTTTCAATATTTTTATACATATTAGCAGTGATTAAAAGCTATTTTCGGCTATAAAATTTTAAAAAGCAACATTCGAACACAGACTGTACATTCTATAGAGGTATTCTGGATAGAAATCTGTGTGATGTCTGAAAAAAGACTTGAGGTTATGTTTAGTTAGGTTAGGTTGATTTGTTTCGATCGAGCTTTTACGCCAATGTAAAACTGTAAAAAAATGGACGAAGAAAATGAAAATCCGATAAAAAATGGCAATCGAGAGGAGAAGAAGGATTTGTGCAACGAGGCAATCAATGGCATCGTCCGCAGAGAGGATTTACATCCCTTTTTCGAACGTAGTGACCACAGCGTCAACAAGGTTCACTTTTCGGCGGTAAATATTTTCTGTGCAATATTTTCGTACGAATAAAACGAAAGAAAAGAGAACGTTGATGAAATACGTAATTTTACATATATCTGACAGCCCCGTGACATGTCCTCGAATATAAACGTTGATGTGTTCTGCATATTTTTATAACTGCAACAAATAATTGTACATTTGCATTACACTTTTTTTTGCACTCTAAATATTTTTTGTGCACAATCTCGCATATTTTTACACGTAGAATATTTTCCTGGTGATAATTCGTATATTTTTGCGAGAATTTATCAGAGTAGGAGCAAATATTAAAATGAGAGAGACGTAAGGCTCTAATCGCATTGTTGGCTTATCTATGCGAAACAGGTGCCCCAAATCTGCAGGGACGAGCCATGCCAGCTCGGAGTCGACGAGGCGGGTCGCGGCCCGGTCTTGGGCCCGATGGTATACGGAATCTCGTACTCCCCGTTGTCCCAGAAGCAGCTGCTGGTCGATCTGGGCTGCGCCGATTCCAAGAGCCTGACGGAGAAGAAACGCGACGAGATATTCGACGATATCTGTAAGCATAGGGACAGCATCGGCTGGGCGATCGACGTGATATCGCCCAACGTTATCGCCAACAGCATGTACCGTCGCACCAAGGTCTCGCTCAACGAGGTCTCCATGATGTCGGCTACGAATCTGATACGGGGAGCGATCGAGGCGGGGGTGAACGTCGCCGAGATCTACGTCGACACCGTCGGCAAGCCCGAGTCTTACCAGGCGCGGCTGGAAGGCGTGTTTCCCGGCGTCAAGATAGTCGTGGCGAAGAAGGCCGACGCGACCTATCCGATCGTCAGCGCGGCCAGCATATGCGCCAAGGTGTCGCGCGATCACGCGATACGCGCGTGGCGGTTCCGCGAGGGCGAGGGCATCGCGGCGGAGTACGGCAGCGGCTACCCCACCGATCCGGCGACGAAAAATTGGCTGGCCGCGAACGTGGACCAGGTGTTCGGCTTCCCGCAGCTCGTCCGCTTCAGCTGGTCCACCGCCGAACAGATTCTCGAGTCGAAAGCGTTCACGGTAGAGTGGGAAGAAACGGAGGAGACGGAGACCTCCAACGAGCAGAAGATTCTCAAGTTTTTCGCCAAGTCCCCGACTAAGTCGTCGTTGAACGTTCACGCGAAAAAACATCCATTCTTCACGGAACGCTGCCTGTTCAACGCGACTGTCTTATGATATTTGCTTTATGCTGATTCTCCGTCCCTTCCCGTTGCGGTCGTATAATGGGATTTTAAAGACTCTTAACTTAAGATATATATTTTAATAGGAATTATTATTATATACTTAGCTTTTAATATTCAGCAACAGTTTTTATAATTAATCGGGACATGTAACGAGAAATTCGAAGTAAGAGCCGATTAAACGAACGTTTCGTATCGAAGATGCATAATAAAATATTCAACATATCACTCTCGATTGACTTTCATTACGGTTTTATTAGATCGATGTACAACACATGTCTGGAGAGATTTACGTGATTTACTAAAGAAAATATTTCTGCGGATTAGAGTTTAACGGATTATCCTTTTTCGTAACTTCCGTATTACCAGCGTTTTACCTTGGAACGTTAAATTAAAGACAAGTATATATATATATCGTCCGGCTTACAATTTTATACGTAATATATATGTATATATGTACATATGTACAGAGAGCGTGTGTCCTTACAGCCTACCATAGATAAAAGAGCGTGGCAAGTTTTTTTTAATATTTACGAAAAATCTTCTCTACACACCGTGCCACCGTGATTAATTAACAATTAGGAATGCTTAGCGTGAAAAGTTCGAAAAATCTTTGGTAAACGCACGCTACACAGTCACACACACGTCGTACAATTATTCCTAGGATATTATCTCGTTAACGTACGATTAATAGCGGACTAGATCGTTAAGGGCTACGGTACGGTGACGAACAGAAACGACGATTTGTTTTGTTTGCGTTGCGTCGACTGCCTGGGTTGTATGTACTAGATTCTCGAATCGTGTTTATTTTATTGATTTACAGAGGTGCGCGCACATACACACACGGCGGCGTCACTTATAAGTACAGCATCGCCGTGCGTCGCCCTCGTTTTCTTAACTAAATATCTGCCGTCCGAGGCGAATCGAGGGTGCGCAGCAGTGTACCGACAAATTAATTTCATTGAGAATGAAGCGACATTTCCGGATATGTTTAAGTATCGAAATTTCTCATTAACGATTACGACAAGTGTTCTCGACGAACACTTGAAAGAATAACGATCGAGGATATTTTAAATATTCGCAAGCCGCGCGCACGCTGATGCCGAATTCGGGAATTTGCGGGGGGAAATTTTCTCCGTTTACACAGCTAAATCGTTAATGTTATATTGTCTTGAAACTCAGTAAAGCGCACTTGCGTTCTAGCGTTTCCAGACGCGGCACGGTTAATGAAAATTCAATAAAACGCGCGGACCCGCGCCACGGGTTTGAGAACGGGGGCAGGATACGCGCTAGCCGCACACAGCGGAATATTCACGAGAGACGAGGTGTATGTGTGTAACCCGAAAAGATCGATTTATACACTTTACGCATGAGTCGCCGCGAGCAATGTAAAAAAGTCGCGGCTCCGAATTTTCACCGATAAACTACTGATATCGGTGTTGGCCAGGGCAATCCTTCCCCCCCTGACGAATAGATATTACGAACAACGGAGTTGCGAACGGAACAACGGAGAGTCCGTCGTGTCTTTCGCGCACTGTAGACGTGAGACGTAGGTAATTCGTGTAACGTGAAAATCGAACGACCGAGTCGCCGCAAAATTTCCCGATAATTCTTTTATCGCCCCTGGAGAGAGAGAGAGAAAGAGAAAGAGAGAGATAGAGAGAGAGAGAAGAGAAAGAACCCATCTCGTTCGTTTACAACGAAAACTCCCTCTGAACGTTCGAGTATAAAGTTGTAACGTAGTTTCGATAGTGTGTCGTCTGTCTACGATTATTTACGTGGTCTCTAACTCCACTAATTGCAATTATAAAAAATATAAACAACACGGGTAATTTTATATTACGTAATCATATCGCATTACGGAGGGGGGGGGGCAGGGTTGGCGTTCCACAGGCCTGGGGGATGAGCACGAAGGGCGAGTGGTATCCTCGTTCCTTACCGCAGCATCAGGAGTCCCATGATCACCAGCACCACGCACGGCCCTAACGCTATGCTCCCGCTCGCTGGAAAAGAAAGAAAAAGAGAGGATAAACGTCGCGTTTCCCGAAGGCGCGGGGACATTAAATTTTAGAAAATTACGGAAAAATTCCAAGTTTCGACCTTCGAAGTTGAAGCTCGCGCGGCCAAGTGAATTTGGATAAAACGAATTTTGCGCTTAAGCGAATGCTGTAAAAGAAAAGTGGCCGAATTAAAAGGCGCAGTGACACCCAGAATCCGCGTGTACGCGCGAAATTGGATTCTTAATCTCTCAAATATCGCTCTTCGCGCGCGAGTCCTCCCTCGTGATTCGGCACATGTTAACGAAATTCCCTTCCTTATTCCCTCGGAGCTGTCCCCCGAAGCGGGGTTTTGCGCGAAACGAGTTACGTGTTTACCCTTTGGCTTGCGCGATAGAACTAAAACAGCGTATCGGGGGAGAAACGACGTTGAGTTGCTAAACTATCTGCGCGTCAGGACGGGCCTCGAGTTGCGAGATGTTAACACCGAAAGGGCTGGGATCCATTATTTCGGTCGCTAAGCCCTCCTCACGCGCCCGCAAAGCCTATACTTTTTGCGGACGTGTAATCAATATTGACGACATGAACTTGTGAAAAACGTCAGTTTCCCTTTTATTTTTCACGGAGGCCCGAAAAGCGATTCTTACCCTCCTTTATACGCGCGGGATAGGTAAATGGCTCTTCAAGACGGACCCTCGTTTTCAATCCTGATATTAAAGTAAATAAAACGTCACTTGCGGAAAGTTAATATTTTGATATTAATTTAAAAACATCGCTTTAAACGAATTAATATTTAAACAAACATTTAATTAAAACTCGAATAGTATACGGGGAGGTAAAATTTGCGTCGTTTAATTTTATTTATCAAGCTTTGACCCGCAATTTCTGTTTATTCTCGCATCACGTTTCACGTTAAAATATTGTTAGGGGACATTTAAATGCAAATTAGGTTTATATCTCGAATAATTGAGCTTCAATTTAAAGGGGAAAGAATTTTCCCTTTAAAAATTTTTGATCCATCTCTCTCTTCTACGGAGGGTTAACAAGGGCAGCTAAATTAAAAGACGCGACAAAGAAATCCCGGTGTTCGTGCGGCGGAACAGACATTTCGCCCTTGTCGCTACGTCATCTCCCCCCTCTAGTCAAGGGCCGGCCAGGCGGGGCCGGGGAGAGATTTCTTTTTTTACCTAGGATATGCTCGGCGTGCGTGTGCCCTTGCGCCCTTGTCTCCCTGCTCTCCATTACCGGTATCTTCAGAGGCCTCTCACCCTCTATGCTGAGCTCATTCGATTTCCAATACACGGTATATATCCTCGCCAGGCATTTGATCTTCAAGTCTCCCTTCTTGAAGTGCTTCGAGCGCAGACGGAACTCTAGACCGAGTGTGGAGGTTTCCAGATCGTTCCGGTCCACGACGACGGGGTGGAGCTTCAAGAACTGCTGCTCGACCTAATCGAAGTGAAGAAGCGGGACTGTATATTCTCTCTCTCGACTCTGACCGATGATGACGGTGATGACGGCACGGACGTTCCCTTCGACGTAACGCCCGCGCCGTCAGTAATATTTGCGTGCGCGTAATAGTCATCGTTATTTAAATCTCTTGCGGTAAATTGACGACGTGCCTCTAAAATTTTCATATCTATCTTTTCTGGAAGAATATATCGACGTCGCAGGTATCCTTTCTCATTTCTAAACAGGAATTTTAAACTGGAATTTTAAACAAAAAGACCAAACGAGTGAAAATTAGTGGACCGGTTCACTCAGTTGAAATGTTAAATTGGAATCGGGACAAGATAATGTTCTATTCAATAAGCAAAGATGATATGAGCGCTGCTGAATTTCTAGATACACGAGATTATCTTGAAAAACAATTTTAATGTGATCTTAAGACAGAGATATTATTTTCCTTTTTCTTCAAAAAAATAAAATGTAATAACGTCGTCGGTGCTTATCATCGCAAATTAAATACACTGCATTATCTGTCTAATCTACTTCGTTCCAGGAAAATTGACTCTTGACCTGCGAGTTCCCTGAGAGGCACTATATAAACTTTTAATATCGTTCAGCAGAAGATTGTTATCTCTCTCATTAAATTTTGTTGCAACTTCTGTGACAAAAATTAAGAAGCGCCCTAACATACAACGCTAATTCTTATCACGATAACGGAATTATTCAACGTTTCATTTCTTCGGCCGCGTTTCAACGTTTCCCCACGTTAGACGGCGAATTTCACCTTTTTCACAATTTCGGACGATAAGGATCGGACAACAAACACCGGGCAATAAGGATTATCCCCGAATTATCTAAGATTATCGATTCGAGTACCGATTAAATGTAATCCCAATTTTAATAAGCCGCGAAGTAATGCGAACGCTGCAAAGGCTAATCAGGCAATTTTGAGTGCGCGCGAGCGTCCGCTCGCAACACCCGAAGATTAATTACCCAAGAACCAATTATTTGTTCGCGTGTGAAAAATGAGAAAGTGCGCGCGCCATAGAATGCACTTTGCAAAATTAATCCTCGAGCTTTGTTAGCGCGTAATCGCGGATCAACAAGACATTAGCGGTCACGTCGGTGGTCGCTGCAGAGGTGCGTTATTTTTGCGAAAGAACGAAATTCGCCGCGAAAGGCGAAGAAACTTTTCACAACGCTCAAAAGAGGGGAAGAGGGAAGGGAAGGGAAGAGAGAGAAAGAGGAAACTGTTATGACTTTTCCTCGTCGTGTAGTTATATCAAAGTGCCTTTTACGGACGTAATCTTGTGGCACGTGTATCACGATGTCGGTAAAACATGATGTATTATGAGAAAAAAGTCCTTATTAAGATAGACGTGAAGATTTAACTTTGACACTTGTAGGAACATCTGACGATTATTTTAGCAGCGGAATCCTCGATCCGTGAGAAGTGAAGTGGATTTCGCTTCAGTCAAACATTAATTTAAAACTTAATTATATTAATACACATATAAAAAATTTTATATATAAATATAGGTATATGGTGGTGGAAATAAAAAAATAATGGAATATTGAATCTTCCAATTGACGGGTATAACGGGAGAAAAAGATCAAAGTCCACTTTTTGTCGAAATTGATCCGATCATGTCATCTTATGGCATTTTTAAAAGACTTTCATAATTCTTATCTGTTTTGATCAAGAACAGTTACAATTTATTGGAAATAAAGCCGAAAGATGTAAGCTGTGGAAAAACCATCAGAGTCCAACATACGATATAAACACTAAATAAACACTATACCGATATTCACTGTCAGTACATTTTACAACAGCTTCCTAAGATATCTGATGTCTTGAAACTTAAAATTGCGTTTTTCTCGAAATTACTCCCGGATGGACATTGATCGTTTTTCCCCTGTACCCTTCAACTATTATATCTCGGAAAAAATCGAGATAATAATTGAGCTTATTTTCTTCCTCGGAAAATTGAGAAACAATTGAAATTAGATATGCAACGCATAGAAATACGTTCCTATATTAGTAACGATACAACTAGTTTGAATATTCGCAGATAAGGCCTCTCTTCCTGTAGCTGTAGCTCTTGCTCAACTGCATCGTGCGTGAACGCGCGCGAATCCCTAGACTACTCTAGACGGATTTGTCGGGATCGTGGCTTATCTCGGACGTCGGATGACGTCGCCGCGAAACTTTTACGCTTCCGACAGCCTGAGAAGACATTCACGGTTGCGGTACGCAAGCAGAGAGGGAGGGAGAGAGAGAGAAAGAGAGAAAGGGAGGGAGGGAGGGAGGGAAAGAGAGAGAGAGAGAGAGAGTAAGAGAGACACTTTGCGTCTCGAGCACTCACGGGGTCGCCGTTGATGAACCAGCTGAGCGTGGCATGTGGCTTCGACTTCGCCGAAGTGCAATTGAACCGCACGACGTCGCCGACTTGATAACGATGTTTCCCCGTAACGGGTCGGCCCGTGATAACGGGCTCGTCCTCCGGCAATGCTGGAAAATATGTAGATGCACGTAAAATAATCTGCTGTGACAAAAAGGACGTGATGCTCTTCGATTAGACCCGAGCGACGGGGGCTTTTAACTTGCGCGCGCGCGCGCGCGCGCGCCCGCTCGAATATTTTAACGCAATACCGCTCGAACCGTAATTTTGTTGCGGTGAGCTTAACTTGTTTACGCTTACCGGCGCGGAAATTTTAATGGAGTAACACTTCGCCGTAATCATTGCACTCGATATAACGCATTTAACTTTATATACACTATACATAGGTATATGTATATGAACGTGCGCGGGGGAATGACCGGTTGGCTGGCGCAAAAAACTCTAGCGATCGAGATCTTATCCCCCACGGCAAAGAGAATAAATAATCGAATCCGTTCTGTGGATTAAAAATATTGGATGGAAAATCAGTGGCGGATTCTTATTTAGACTTAAACGGCTTTGGAGGTTCCGCATAGTTGCTGTGGAAAAATCCAACTCAGTCGATATTTCTCGTACGTCGCGATATTATTAATCAAGACTTCAATTTGTGAAGAATGTTGCGCGAGAGCGGTTGGTATAATACTCGAGCTCGGAGTGATTATTGAAAATGAAAGGGCACGGGTGGATTTTACAGCAATAAATTTAATTCAGTTCGTGGGAAAATTGCGATAAATAATTAAACGAATATCGGTTTCGAGTTTGTCAATGAAGGGAAACGCTCCGCGCGCGCGCGCGACGATAATAAGGCAAGATTAACGAAAAACGCTTCGTTAATTCGAGCGAGAGTTATGGTCGAAAGTCCACAGACGCATTATACCGCCGCGGGATAAATCGTCAGTGATTCGTCACCGATCGTAGGTCGATATTTTTGAGGAGGTCGTTCCAGATAACGTTCCCTCTCACAGATCAAAGCCGACGCGACGTTAATTAACTCCTCGCGTTAAGTGGCTTATGAAATCTTCAAAGCCACAAAAGCTAAAATTCCTAATCCCGCGGCGGGAAAATCCTCTCTACTGCTGCTGCTTCTTCTTCTTGAACGGCGCGAAACCGAAATCCCTTCGTTAAATGGCACGTATAAATCTTTGTCTCGGAATTAAACCGCTTCAAGTCATATCTCACACCGGACCGTGATAAATCTCCTTTTTTTTTTCGCGATTTGATTTTAATTCGAACGCGAATAAAATCACGATTAGTCGGACGCAATTTCTTTCTCTTTTCGCCCCCTTTTTCTCGCTCGGCGCGCGATAACAACAACATTTGCCCGCGGATAACGAGAATCGAGGCGAGGAAGAAGACGTCTCTCGCGGGGGGATAAGACGCGAGGCAATATCCCCCAAGTTTGCGGAGGCCCGGATGGCGCGTTATTGCGCGCGATTTCTTCGAACGATAAAACTCTTCTCTTAATTAATACGAGTCCACTCGCCGTCGCTGCTTACCGATTACCATCATATCCGAATGATCGGAGACGGTCTGGAAGGACGGCGCCTCCGCCGAAACCTCGCATCTGTAGCGTCCCGTGCTCATGAGGTTCACGGAACGTAGGACGACCGTTCGTTGACTGGACTCGTGAAGCTGAAAGAGACAAAAGAGGATGGGTCGCGGACATAATAGCCAATTCGTCAAGCTGAAAACTGCCGCGAACCGACTCGGGCAAGATACATGGGGCTAGAAATTAAAATCTTCTCTAATGCAATTTGTTCATTCCATCTAACCGAGAGAAATAGAAAAGAAAGAGGTGGGGAACAAAAAATCACGTGAAATTTCGATCATCTCATATTAGAATTAAACCGCTATTTCCACAAAATGTCCACCCATTAATTCCTTATATCGCGAACGGTAAATTCCGCGCTTCCAACATTAGTTTCCAGGAACGACCCGGATTAAGTGTCTGATTTTTATTTCGCCTCTCTAAATCTCGATGAATGAACGAATGAAATCGAGAGAAAGAGAGAGAGATATATGTATTCGTATATTCGTCTTTTGCGCGAAATGGCGCCTCCCTCCGACAACTTTCGTCGAAATTTCCCCGCTGCCGTAGCCCAGTGAATCACCCATCACCCATTCGAGCACGTACAGAGAAGGCTCGTTCCACCAGCGTAGTTTTCGTACCGCGGGACTGGAATTTTTTCGTATCACTCAATGGCGTGGAAAACCGAGCGAGTGATATAGTCGACGAGGAATTGAAATTATTGGAAATATCATTAACCCAAAAGAGGGAGGACGCGACTATAGGAGAAGGGGGAGGGGGAGTGGCGAAGAAGAGCGACTCCCCCTCGGGATCAATTTGTAATGCGTTATCTTTTGCGTCGGCGACGGCGACGGCGACGACAACGACGACGAAAGGCAATTTTAGACGTGCCCCCGCGACGACGGTCGACGACACGCTTAACGAACAACGTCCCCCAACATTAAATTAGTTTCGCGAAGAACGCGGGAAGGGAGGACGGACGGAGGGAGAGAGAGGGGAGTCGGGTCATCGTCGTCGGCATCCTCGCAATTTTCATCTCCGCGCGGCGGGGCGCGCGCGCATTTCACGATTCATTATACTAATCGATGTAATTATAAACAGCGATAACGACCGGGTAGACCGATAATTTCTAAGGGCGCTCCCGAGCGCCAATCTCGCGCGGTGATTAATGTTAATATTAAGGCTCATTATGACCAAGATCGCGTGCCGGTGCGGTCGCCTCCCGTCTTTGTTTATTCGACGCTCGGCGCGCGTAATGCAGCATTAATCCGACGTCTTGACGTGAATGGAAAGCCATTTCGGCCACGCGCGCGCCCCAAGACGGGGGAATTTCGGTTGTGGGGCCGCTTCCGCATGCGATACTCTATTTATTTATGTACCAGGAAACCCGCGAAGAAGCTCCTGTTGCAGACGTCGCTCATAACTGCGGCAACGTCTCCCGTGGGAGAGACTTCAAACTAGAATTTCGAAAATGTGGCGTTTACAACTTTTATTATTGCCAAGTCTGTGTGTGTGTGTGTGTGTGTGTGTGTGTGTGTGTGGGCGCGCGCGCGCATATGTTTTTATTACCCTTTCCATCGCGCGCGGCTTGCATGTGCACGTTCCCGCGTAGCGAAATTTCTCCCGCTCGTCGATCGCATCGGTCGTATTTTCAAACTAGTTCACAATTTGCCCTCCTATTTGTTTTCCTACCGGGAAAAATATCCCAGAGCGAACGGCGAGACGCGCGATTTGTTTTTAAGCGACACAAATATGAGGGCAGGAGACGCGGGATAGTTACGCCGAGTAAGTACCGGGGAGTCGGGATTTTCCCTCCCCTCGTGATTGACGCGCATTTAAGAATCCAAGTCCGTACGCGCGACCGAAAGTGGGTCAATCATGACGCCACTCCCAGGGGAAAGGAACGCCTCCGCCGGGAACTCTCTCCGACGGAAAACGGCCGGGAATCAAAACACCGTGCACTCTCCCCGGGAGCCCTGTTTCTTTTTCCGGGGGTTTCAATCGTAGGTGCGCGCGTTTAAGGGGCGATTCACGACGATCAATCGGGCCCGCACGTACACACGTCGGGTACGCGAAGCGCGAGATATCGGATAAGGGTTCGACGCGAGAACGAGCGGAGAGTCGTATTCGACCTCGAGAGACCCCGAAGAAATGGCCGAGTCTTATGTACAAGTCACGGATTTTTATGCCGTTTTTATGTCGAACCCTTCCGATTTTGTTCGTCGGAGAGTGCGGAATGTTTGAGGAATGAGGAAAATCTTAGCCCACTTTTTAACGCGATGGAGAGATCATATGACTCCGACATATAGGCCTTGCATAGATTACGAACTTTGATTCATTCTTTCTTGATTCGGCTTTTCGTTGATTCAAGTTTCACGCGAAAAACAAGAGGAAGAGAGACGGGGGCAGGTGTGGGCAAGAGGGAAAGAGATAGAAAATAGTTAACAATCCTTACGACTGCCGTGACACCGGGATGGACGAACTTCAGAGCAGGTGGCTTCTCCTGGGGTACGAATCGGTAGAACTCGTTGCCGTCCTTGTACCACTTGACCGAGTACAGCTTCTCGCCGTCCAGATTAAAGTTGCACTCGAGGCTTACATTTTGCCCGAGCACCGCGTGCTGCGGCACTATCAGGTCCAGCATCCTCAGGCCGTTTGTTTCTGCAACACGGACACAAACAAGAGGCGGATGGTGAGATCGGAGAAAAGATCATGAGAGCGGTATACGCTTTTGTGTTGAACGTTACGCGAATGCGCGCGCGAGGACAACGGGTTTTCAACGGTAAGATCTTGCTTAAGGAAATTAAACTAGACACGGGTAATTGGAGTAACAGTTTTCCCAGCTGTTTTTGTGGAACATTTAATTCTATTGTTGAAAACAAATATCAGGTGGAAGAGTAATAGCAGTGCGCAATTAAAACGGCGGAGGAGAATATACGATATATGTTGACGCATTTCGGAGATTCACGGCGTTCTAATTTAGAATAATTCTTCTCCTCATAAAGATTAATATAAATCAAAGATTCTTTCATTTTCAAAATTAATTTCCTTAAATTTTTTAATCTCTATCATTGTTTGCTTAGATCTTTTTTATTATCTTTTTTATTCCTGGCTTAAAAAATTCGATCAACTTACTGTTAGTGTAAATTTATAACAGTTCATAAAAAAATTACTTAAAACGCTTAAATTAATTAAATCGTTTATTCGATTGTTCAATTAGCCTTCTTTCAAAATAATTTTTGCTATTTTAATGCAATCAAATTATAAGATAATCGCTACTCCAACTTTAATAAATAAAAGGATTTTTATTATACACAGAAAGAGATAAGAAAATTGAATTATTCGATCCAATTATAATTCATATTATGTCATATTATGTCATATTGTGTCAAAGTCAAAAACTTTAATCAAATGCTTTTCAAATAGTGTGAGAATAACAGATGCATCGTCGTTCAAAAATATGTGACGGATCTATAGTACTTCTCTTTTTCGACAACATACTTAAAACTCGAGCGCGTGACCTAGGAAGATCGCGATCCCTTTTCGCGAAATGCACGACGTTCGGGTGATGTCACTTGAAGAGGGAAAGGAGATCAAAGGAGCCGCGAGAGACGCTGCGGCGACGAGGGAGAACGAGAAGCTGCGACACGCGTCTGTCTTTTCTGAGGATGGCTCCAACGATTCGAATCACCGAGAATATTCCGCGAGAATAGTATGTAATCCACCGAAACCTACCGTGTGCTTCTAGGAGAAACAGAGAAAGGGGAAGGGGGGGGAGAGGGAGAGACAATCTGCGGCGAAAGCGTCGACAGAGCCCAAGAGCAGGAGGATGATGACGATAACGTCAGGTAAACAGGTGGTTGCTGCGAACAACGACGACGTCTACGACGTTTATAAACAAGGTATTAATTTCTTGACATGCTCTTGTTCGAGAGCAAGCCGAATTAAATGTTTACTTTGGAATGTGTATCTCTCGCGATTCTATAGTTATCGACGACACTGATTATTATTATTAGGCGAAAAATAGGACATTTCGCTCCATAGTATGAGATATGTATTTTGAAAATAACTCCGTGAGATATTGATTAATGATATTACGAGACTAAACGTTTCATAAATTTTAAATATTGAAGGAAGGAAACTAAAAGTATATCGGTAAAAAATGAATTATTGAGCGAACGTATACGTGTCTATATGTGTGCGTCACAAAAATCTGGAACTCTTATTTCTGTACTTTATTAAGTTATTCCTTTTATAAAGTAGATCTTTTTTGATTAATGAGATAACGTTAATCAATTCATAACTTTTATAATTCTGGTTCTGGTATACAACTGGAGAAGTTAAGTAATGAGAGAAGAGCTTTTTTTTCTTTTTAATTTAATATTCCACAATACAGCGGCTTCTGAGTCACCGTATAAATTTTAATGGGAGACGTCAATAATATGAGCTGCGCGGAGCTGCTTCAAAGCACCCGGCTTGGAATTTCCAGTGCAGCGGGTTAAGTGAAAATGTACTTTTGATTGCCGCCTTTACGGTGGACAGAGGATAAGTACAAGGGATAAGCACAAAGGATAAGCGCAGGGAATAAGTGCGAGCATGGGCGCCGCGCCGGAATTTTTTCCCACCGACTTCCTTGCTTCTCTCCTCATGATTATTATTTCAATTATCTTGCTAATAGCGCACAGTAAAATTTCCCTGCCTCCATAACAAGAGTTTCATGAAAATTATAATGAAGCGGTGAATTTTCCAACCGGACTTTTTTTTCTCCTCTCGTGGAACCGTGGAAAAACCAGGAAGAAGACCGTGTCTCGGCGCCCATGACCGCGCCGTGCAATTTCTGAAACGACAAGGGATAAGAAATAATTCCTGCGCTTCGTTACGTCCGCGCATTGCGAAGACGAGGAAACTGGCTTATAGCTTCCGGCAGGGTGACCATATTTTCCTGCAAGTAGGACAATAGCAACGGTATAAAACCGAGAGACCATCCCCAGAATTGCAAACTCTATTCAATTAAATTATGAGGATTAAAGTTAATTTAACTGATAAATTAAAGAAAAACCTCTCGCCCTCGCCTCTCGCCTTCGTGAACGTAGACAACGGTAGGTATATAAAGTGAAGAATCAATTTTCGGTCTTTTCACACACATTCCCTTTCGCGTTCTTTCTGGAGCCTCTAGACTTCAAGGGCGGAATGTATGTCACTATAGCGAAGTGCAGTCGTATTACGGCAATGCGTGACACGAATAATCGTGGGAGCAGTTGGATCACGTTGCGCGTCGAAACAAACGGTCGAATTCTCACACGCGTGTCCACGCGTATTTACCCGCACAAAGGAAGTGCGTGCTACATTGAGAACCGAGTTATATATCGATACCGTGTCGTCCTTTTTTTCCGTTCCTACTGTTACGTCCCATTTAAAACGAAACTTTCGCTCCAAATGCATTCGCAGAAGCCGCGGTGCTATGGTAAATCGAAATAAAAATAAAATTTGAGATATCAATGTAAGAAATATTGCCTATATTGCAAACGCGGTGCTTAACGTATCCTGAGAACTCATTTAAAAACATCAATAAATAAAATATTGAATCACATTAAGAGAAGATTATATCAGAAAAATAATCAGAAATAATTGCATAAGATTTGAAACATAAGCTCTTTTATAAATAATGTCAGTATGAATTTTTTACATTTTTTCCCCGATCAGTTTTTGAACATTTATAACAAAATTTTTTACATGGCTTCTAATGAGGAACTCGATACTGCATATCAATTATTAACACAAAAATAACTATTGAAAATATTAAAAATTAAACAAATTTATGTTTAACATATAAAAAATATCATACTAAAAGTGCCTTGAAAGATTTGAAAAATATGGCCACATTTCTTGCAATATTTAAAATTTGCACCGCGATAGTGAATCGCAGTAATAAATCGATATGAAAACGTACATTCAATCGAAATGTATTTAAATAGGATAACGAAAACTCAGCACAAAATAGATAGACTTTTTTTATGTCACATCTCAAATTTTTTGTTTCAAGTGCTTCGCTGTATAAAATGCACATCATAAAGAATTACGCATTATTATGTATACAATTTTTACCGTGATGACATAAAAAAATTTCAAGCTTTGTTATAAATGTTCTCAAAAACTGACCGGTGAGAAAAATTTTTAAAAAAATTAACATGCTGACATTTATAAAAGCCTAGAGCTTATGTTTTATAAATTTAAATGTTATGCAATATTCTCAACGTTTTTAATTTTCTTCAAAACCTCCTTAAATAGACGCCATTAATTAGTGTCTTTGATTTTCTGTTGTATTTTTTCCCCCCTCGCTCCAGGAATAGTTGGCCAAATTAGCTGAACCGCTAATTTGCGGCGTCAGAGTTAATGCAATTGTCACGAATGATATTTCCGCGTTTAAACGGGATCGAATACGGTTTCGCTAACGGCATTATCGGTTTTTTGTCAGCAGAAATCTATTCCAATCGTAAACATAATTGATTGCATTATGCTCTCTGTATTCCAGAATTATCCTCGCTCTCGGTTGACATTTCGCTTTTAAGTAGCGACAGACACATTTGACATTCTCGTACATTAAATATATGATTTTTCTCACTGTAATAAGACGATTTAACGAAGATATTCCTTTATAATTCACACTGTTATTAAAACAGAAATAAAATTCGATATTTAAATAGATTTATGACTTTACGACGATGCCAGACCAGTGAAATCCATCGGGCTTGCTCATTCGCGCCGTGGCTTTTTCACGCGAACGAACGCCTCGCAGCGTCGCGACGCGACGCCGAGCAACTTCCTTAATAAATGTCCCCTGCGCCTGTTATTTTATTATAAAACTGCCGGGGCTGTGTGATGAAGCCTCCCCAACCTTTAATATCCGGAGTACGGGGATACGATTCGTCATTTTTTCCCGGCATTCTCGCCGCCGCGACGTCGCCTTGATTTAATATAAAATAATATGAGTGCCCGTACGTTCTCTCTGCGCGCTCGTATAAATTATATTAGCACTTTGTCCAGGCGTGTTTCGACGTATTCGTATAATTTCGCGTTGCGGAACGTAACTCTCGAAATTTAAATGACAAGTGACACGTCTCAATGCGAACCAGCTGTATTTTCGTACATTAAATAATGTACCGTCACTCGTCATTCTAAATGTCAGAGGAAGCTAATGAATTTCTGAAGATCGGTCAATCCATTAAGTCATCTATATTAATACCACCGTCAAAATTATTATTATTATTAACATAGCCGTCAAATTAAATCGCAAGCGTCACACTCGAGTTGCTTTTTTGGGTATTTCGATCGATTAAAATAATAGCGTGCTTTTGTGCAAGATTACAGCGGTATAAGAAATTTCGTAGGAAATTAGTCCTAAGTATGCCGATGCGCGAGCGCGCGCGCGCGCAGCGCGATATAGACGTTTACTTTTACAATCGCGTAACTCAACGCGAGGTTGTACGCTTGACTCGAGTTTCTCTCCCGTTTTTTGGGAAGGGGGTGGGGCGGAAAAAGAAAACCTTCGCGTGTTACGGCAGCGCGATGAAAGGACCGGCTTTAACAAATTGCCTTTTAACGACCCGATACCGAGCGATTTCACCCTTCCCCCTCCCCCATGCATTCCGCAATGAGCCCCG